CGAAAAGGAGATATTAATATAATATTAAAATCGATTCTTTGTATAAAAGAATATTCATTTGATTATGAGATTATTCTTATTAAAAGATAATTTGATTATAAGGATTCAATTTGAGATCAAATATTTATAATAAAATTCCTATCTAGATAATAATATTTAAATAAATAATTTAGGTATAATCAAATTTTATAAGATATCGAATATTTCTATTCGATATTTATTTTCAAAAGATATGAATAAATTATTATTTATTATGATAATTCATCTATCGATCTGCATATATTCTTTCATCTCTTGCCCTTATATATCTCTCTTCTTGCCTTCCATATTCGATAGACTAATTATCGGCATGCAATTAATTCCTCATCTATAATATAATTTATTCTAGCGTACGGATTTAGAATAATATTGATATGATATGAATATCCCAATATCTGATCGCCAGGACTAGATATTGCCGTATCTAAATAGCACCCTGCAAATAAGATATTTCAATGAATTGACATCATCATCTATCTTATATATATTATCTATAAGACCATGATAATCGATATTATAATTCGATCCTATATTTTGAATATAGATATCTTCCAATCAATATTAAAATAATTAATAAATAATCTCCCTAATCCCAGAAATTCGATCATTTTCCAATGAGATATAAGCTTGTCGGATAAATATATAAGTCTCATGTCAACAAGCCTACGAAATAATCTGCCACCAAGATATTTTTCTATATGAATTTATCACTATAAATAGAATCCCGATTTATATCAGCATGAATGGATCTGATTGATATGAGATCATGATATCCCGATCTGATAGATATATATATATTCTATATAATGAAAGCTCGTAGTCTGCTTATTTGGAAAATTCCAGTGCTCATAGGCTTCAGGATTTTAGCATTAAAGATTATCTATTTTTGCTAATTTTCGGATTATTGAAGTTCAAATCTTTCTCAATATTCTTATATAGGTCACGGACAATATGATTTTTCGAATTATATTTCATCATAATAGATTCGTTTATATATATATTTCTACTTATCTGTGCCGGGACTCTAAAATTAGCTCCCGCGGGCACCTCATATACTTTAGATATCTATGACGGAATTGTTCGCACGCCCGAACAGTGCCACATATCGTTGAAAAGGATCGCCGTTTCTGATATCGATCCTGCTTGATATCGCCTTCTCTCCCCGCCATTTTCTTCGAAGATTGCGATTTCCCCCTTCCATTTGAGAGATGGAGCTGCAGCATTTTCAAGTATCTCTAATGAATTGCCCGTAGATAATGATCCGGAAATCGAAATCAAGAATAAGCTCGAAACCGAATCGTAATCTTTCATTCTCTATTTTATTCTCTTCTTCTATATAGATGATCTTTCTATAGATATCGGACAAGACGATCTTGATGATTTTCATGAAATTTCTGAGCTCGATCTTGCACTTGAGAAAGTCCTTATAGATGAAATTAATGATTTGTCGACTCGTATCATGATATAATAAGAAAAGAATTGATATAATAATAGAATGATAAAAAAAATTAATAGATCAAATAAATTCGAGGCAGCTCCCCTAGAGCCGAAGGTCGAGAAGATAAGCCTTCGATATAAAGAATAAGGGATCGGTGAAATGGAAGCAAATCATTGGATTTTTTATTTTTTAAATGAAGATGAAAATAATGAAGATGATCGAGATAATGAGGATAATGAAGATGATAAAGATAATAAAGATAATGAAGATAATGAAGATAATGAAAATAATAAAGATAATAATCGAGATAATGAAAATAATGATAGAAATGATAAAAATAATAGAGGTGATGCAAATAGTGAAGATAAAAATAGAAATTATTGAGATTTTGAGATTCGAAGGGAGTATGCCCTAAATCAAAGAGATTGAAATAGCGACGAATATTTGAGATTTTTAGTTTAAAAATTATAAATGAAAATGAAAATGATCAAGGTAATGAAGATGATAGAGATAATGAAGATGATAGAAATGATAAAAATAATGAAAATGATGATATTAATAAAGATATTGAAATTAATGATAGAGATGATAGAAATAATGATAGAGATAATATAGATAATAATACGGATATAAATATATAGAGATAAAAAAAGAAATATTAGAGAAGGGGGAGTTGGGGGGGGGGCAAGATATCGATCAAAGGAGAAAAATAAAGACATATATTTTAGATTATTTGCATAAAATATCAATGAAAATGAAGATGATAAAGATAATGAAGATGATAGAGATAATAAAGATGATCGAGGTAATGAAAATAATGATAGAGATGATAATATAGATGATAATAAAGAAGGAGAATATTGGATAGAGAAAATTCTTAATCTAAGAAATGCCGAGAAAATGAAAATAATGAAGATAATAAACATGATCATGGATATAATAGAAATGATGAAGATAATAATGGAGATGATGGAGATAATAGAGATGGAGGAGATAATATCAGAAATAATGGAAAAGGGAAAATTCGATGGGAGGAAGGAAATTCTGGATGCAAGGAGTAAGGGCGTCGGTGTAAAGTGGCAGCGAATATTAGTGATTTCGTATTCAAAAAAATATAGATGAAGATGAAGATCATGAAGATAATGAAGATGATAGAGATGATGAAGATGATCGAGATGATGAAAATGATGAAAATGATGAAGATGATGATGGCGATGATAGAGATGATGGAGATGATAGAGATGATAGAGATGATAGAGATGATGATAGAGATGATAGAGATGATAGAAATGATAGAGATGATAGAGATGATAGAGATGATAGAGATGATAGAGATGATAGAGATGATAGAGATGATAGAGATGATTGAGATGATAATAGAAATGATGGAGAAAGGGGGAGTTCGAGGGGGGGCAAGGCCTCGATCCAGGGAGCGCGGGGGGGGGGGGAGAAATATTGGCGAATATTTGAGATTTTCTAACGACAGAGTCATAAATGAAGACGAAGATGAAAATGACGAAGATGATGAAGATGATGATGGATATAATGGAGATGATTAAAATGATGATGGAGATGATGATAGAGAAGGGGGAGCTCGAGGAGGGACAAACCTTCGAGATTATTCCAACGAAAACATAATAAATGAAGATGAAGATGACGAAGATGATGAAAAAAAAGATTATGAAGATGATAGAGATGATGATGGATATGATAGAGATGATGGAGATGATAGAGATGATGATAGACATGATGGAGATGATAGAGATGATAGAGATGATTGAGATGATAATCATAAATGAAGATGAAGATGAAGATGACGAAGATGATGAAGATGATATAGATGATGAAGATGATCGAGATAATGAAGATGATGAAGATGATCGAGATGATGAAGATGATGAAGATGATGAAGATAATGAAGATGATGAAGATGATGAAGATGATGAAGATGATGATGATGGATATGATGGAGATGATTAAAATGATGATGGAGATGATGATAGAGAAGGGGGAGCTCGAGGAGGGACAAGCCCTCGAGCCAGGGGGTGCGGGGGGCGGCGCCCCCCGCGAAACGGTGGCGAATAATTTTCCAACGAAAAAGTCATAAATGAAGATGAAGACGACGAAGATGATGAAGATGATGGGGATGATCGAGATGATCGAGATGATGAAGATGATAAAGATGATGATGGAGATGATAATGGAGATGATGGAGAAAGGGGGAGTTCGAGGGGGGCAAGTCCTCGATCCAGGGGCTATGTGGGGGCGCACCCCGCGAAACGATTGCGAATATTTGCGATTTTCCAACGAAAAATCACAAATGAAGATGAAGATGAAGATGATGAAGATAATGGAGATAATGAAGTTGATCGAGATGATGAAGATGATAAAAATGACGATAGAGATCATGGAGATGATAGAGATGATAATAGAGATGATAATGGAGATGGTAATGGAAATGACCATGATGGAGATGATGGAGATGATGGAGAAGGGGGGAATTCGAGAGGGGAAAGCCCTCTATCCAGGGAGCCGCCTTCCGCGAAACATTGCCGAATATCTGCGATTTTCCAACGAAAAAGTCATAAATGAAAATGAAGATGACGAAAATGACGAAGATGATCGGTATTCATGTTCATATGAAAACCAATACTGATATGAAAAGCCCAAAAATGCAACTAATTACTAGTCATACTCACAACATTACAAGCATTACATGATAATCATCCAAGGGGAAGATACTTATAATGGAGCATGAAAGTGAAAGACAACAAATATAAAATCGAGACTATCTTCTTCACGACCCAGCAACCATAACATCACCCGACCCGACGACTCGAAGTGCCTCACACGAACAAGATGCGAAACGCTGCCTTTTGTCGATGATCCTATGCGGGTGTCGCCTTTCCAGATCATCGTATTGTGCCACCCTGGAAAAGACTTCAAGACATGATGTCATGCACAATGGTGCTTGCCGCACATGTTACAAAGCTTGTCTGTGCCTGCATTTCGGCGATGCGCTCCTTGTTCCATTCTGCTATCATCCCCTTTCTCTCCTGCATCAGGCATTGCACGAAATGTAGCAACGTGCAGCGCTCTAGCCTTGCCCAGTGCAAATCAGGAAGCAATTGGCAGGCCTCCATCGTGCGCTTCGTGTTCGAGGACACCTTCAACGAACTCAGCTGAAAGTAAGCTTCTCCAAGACACGTCATGTGTTTATGCGCCCCCATTCCCGAACTTCTGGAGAAAGTTCCTGCTGACTGCCCCAGCTCCACCACGCAGGTCAAAGCAATGCTAGCTCACAGGGATGGGAGAGGCCGTTTGCTCCTGATTAAGAACAATTACCATAAAGGGGCCCTAGCGCTCGCAGCGGATGAGAGGTTGGAGATGCCATTAACTCGCGAATTGCACGATTGGAATCGAAATGAACCCCTCAGCTTGGAAAGCCTGAAGCCAGAGATGCCGGCTTTAACACCCCCGCCTTTCGCTTCTTCTTTGCTGGCTGCCCAGCGAGCGCTGCTTTGGCACCTGAGTTGACTGCCCCAACAGAGTGGATTGATGTGTTGAGCTCAGCATGTTGACACATGTTGACGCGAATTGACCATGCTCTACGGCCCTAAGCAGGTTGAGGCAACGAGTTGACGCACGGGCGAATCACCTCGCCTGCGTAATCAGGATGTGCTTCGTACATCTGCCGGACGATGCTCCGCTTCACCGCCTGCAGGATATTGCAGCAAGCACAGTTCTCTACGCATATGGAAAGGCCAAATACATTTTGCTTCACCGTGAGCGTCTTCAGCCGACTTCAGCCTTGGGGATATGCTTGATGTGCATGAAGTTGCACATTCCACCGCGCGCACACCGCGTCCTGAGATGGTCAGGGAAACTGCTACCGACGGTTGCTCTCGCCCCTCCCCTCTGTGGCCGGGCTACCCAAGGCTACAACGGCTGCCGCTTAGGTGCTCGTGGAAGGCCCTACACCGAGCTTCTCGAAAGTCGGCCACCGGGCTGAACCTGGCATCTCAAAATCACGAGACATGCAAACAACAGCTCTTCTTGCGACGAAAAAATCCTGCAGCAGATCAGTGCAACAGGTGAATGACTGCAAACAGGCCGTGGAGTCTCTGCTTGGACGAGGCGGCTGCCGTAGAAGCGGTTGGACATCTGTTGCTGCGCCTTGAATCTTCATGCACGCGTAGTCACGCGCCGCGCTGCTATGCCCTGTCAACAAGCCCAGCAGCCCTCCTAGGTCCCCCCCGCTAAGCACGCGATGAAGCCCTGCACAGATCCAGACCGAGGCTTATTGTCCCCCCTTGCCGGCCTTGGCAGCATCGTCGTCATTGAAATACCTGGAGGGCCGAAAAATCATACCGTATCGGCAGAGCCCTACTTGACATCGGCTGTCGCGGGGGAGCGCACTTGCAGTAGACGTGCCCGAGCATGTGCTCTGACACATTGTCCAGCACAACCATGTCTTCGATCTCAGGGACACATTCCGGGGAGCTAGCACAGGCTGTTTGCACTGTATGCAGTACTGCGCAGGCCCTGGACACGTCGAGCATGCTGCAAGATTTTCGAGAGATCGATGTTCCCATCCGCTGTCTGGTCTGAGACATCGAGTGTGGGTACGATCCTATGAACCTGCACATGCACAGAGATCAGAAGATCATCTCGCCAACGAGGAAATTGCGACCTTCCTATTGTACACGTCAGCATTGTAGCACTGCAGAGTGGAGACGATGCACATTCTGACTCGGCCCTGTGGTGAAACGGAACCGGTGACGACACCGACAGTGCAGCGATTCTGCACTACGTGAAACTTCTGACAAGAGGCGTCGTGCTAGATGCATCCGTGAAGCTGACCAAAGTCCTACGAACCGACATGTGGCAAAGGTGCCCATACGTTGCCGAAGACAGTCATGCAACCGTCAAAGCCATGGAGGCATCCAGGTTGAAAATCTACGGTCGGATGTCTGAGACTCCTGGCAGAAAGGCCGAGCACTGTTCTTACCCTGTGGCAGAGTGCAGTCCCCCCAACCCACGAACCAGACTATCCAGAAGACAACACAGACCGACCCAGGTAGAGACAAGTCCCTGGAGGTCCTGAACCTCAGATACCATGGACAACATGAGTAAACCCTCCTGCAAATGGAGGGGAAGGTTTTCGGTTGAGAAGGCTTGACAAAGGCTTCTTCAGAGCGGCCAAATGATCTGTTCTCACATGGTGGTATTTCCAACGTCAAGATGCCTTTGTCCGTGTTCGGTTCAAGCAGCGACACAGCCGGCTCCTACTTCTTGAGGCCAAGTGGGTCATCATCATCCTGGCAATTGAACCAACAAATAAATGCTGTCCTGCTCATCCGCTCTGAGTGGTGAAAACCGCACACTGCTACCGTCGGGACCGTGCGCAGTCATTTCCAAATCGCCTAGGGCCTAAGCTCAGTCTGTGCTCACCTCGTCCTCCGCATCAGAGAACTCCAGGCTATCCAGGCGTTCCTGGCGTCTCGGGCTGTGGTGCTTAGTGCTCAGACTTCAAGAACTTCACGATTCAACAGCTCTCACTGATATTGCGCTGGCCTAAACGATTAAGTTCCTGTGCCGTGCATCAAATGCATGACCCAGATCTTGGCCAAAACCAACCGCAAGGAGATTGCATGCACTGCCTTCATGGACATGCCCTCGTGCCGGTCGCCGTAGGTCCCAGACGGACGCCGTCCAGCCTCGGAAAGTCAAAGGCTTATCCCAATGCCATGGCGGCATACGCCTCCGGACGAAGTTTTGGCTGCCGGGGCACATGGGCTGGCGACGGGGGCGCATCAGCAGCGAGCACGGCACCTTTCAGCTCTTCGCGCAGGTCCAGAGTCTGGAGCTCTGAAAGGATGCTGTCACACTTCACCCCTGAAACATCTGAGATCACTCTTGAAGCCCTCAGCGCACCGGTGTCCCGCGGTGTGGAAGCACCGGAGGAGGCACTGGCAGAATCCTGCGGTTGCTTCGAAGGCTCCGGACTGCGGGCAGGGGTCAGGCTTCTGCTCCGCCCCTGCTCCCCTTTCAGGATAGCACCAAAGGCTTCTGTCAAATCATCCTAGACACCATCTGAGCCTAATTCAGGGCTAGAAGAAACCCCCTCACCTCCTCTTCTGCGAAGCCAAAATCTGCGGCCTGGCAAACATTCATGTGCACAGTAGCAAGGCTCTGGGACCCTCAACGAAGGTAGGCCGTGATACGCTCGCCTGCAGCACCACTGGTCCGGCTGCCTCAGCATTCCGGGAAAGTCCCTTGCTTAGATCTTCGGGCCTCCCTTCAGCAGGAGAAACAGGAAAAAATGGAAATAACAGCTGGCCTGTGGAATAGAACTACTGGACATGTAGCCTGCCTCGACAACGGTGCCACCATCGGTCAAGGCATCACCTGATGACACGACCGTTTTCATGTCAAATCCTCGTGGTCATCTACAAACGAGCGGGCACGGTTTACAAAGCTTCTAACACTGGATTGCCAGTCGATAGGCCCTCTTGGCGCTATGTGTTTCCAAATCCATACATCGATTTCCTCAATGTTGAATTGCATACTGCAGGATTTCAATGCCTGGTCTGCGGTCTCTTGAGTGTCTCACTTAGCTAAGTTCTGCGGCGCTCCTCTCAAAAGCCTCAAGACCATGACACCCTTCGTCTTGTGCTCCACGTGGCAACCGCCCATCTGTGCACTGTGCATTTGTTTGCAGGGGCCTTGCTGAGGTGGCGCCGCTGGGTCGGAGGGTGCCTAGCAACAACTTCTGCGGAACAGTTGCCTAAGTCCAAGCACCAGGTCTTGGCTGTGAGGTCACTACAGCTAGGGCCACTCCTTTCCTCCATTTGCCAGACATGCCATGACATGCCACCTTGCTTACTGCGAAGATGTTGACACCGTTGTGGCTACTCGCGCAGCTATGCGCAGCTCCATGAAAAAGTTGCTTCAGAGCCAGCTTGAACAAGTCATCATTGCCTTCACTAGTGGCTGCTTCTGCATGCATCGCTTTGCATGTAACATCTGGCCATTGCAGCTGCTCAGGCAACTTCGGGCCCTGCCAGCCTCCACGCTGAGGTCTAGAAAAGTCCTGACTTGGCCAAGTCGCTGCTGTTTCCTAGGGCCCTACTCAACCCTGGGCTAGTGATGAAGGACCTCTCCTCTTGGGCTCGGACCCTCGAGCCGGCGGCGGGGAGATCTCCCCAACCTCCTCTGGCTCGGGCTCTTCCTTCGGACCTCGTTGAGTGTACAACAATGCTGCTGACGCCCGCGCAGGTTCGGCGTCACGAAAGCGAATCTACGCCCTGGCCCTGGAACTGCAGTCGAACTTCTGGGTCTGCAGCCAATGCTGGGTGCTTCAGGCACACCTGCACCGTATGCATCCGTATGTCCAACACATACTGAGCGACTCCAGGGACTGCCGGGCATTCCGATTACAGTCCTGCAGTCCGCACACGCTCCATTTTTTATCACTGGCTGTCACGTGTAGACTGGGTTTGACTCGCCCTCGGTGGGGGTATCGTTGCGAATCGCTGCAAAGAAGATGCATCTGTATCCTTGGTGCCCCGAAGCTGCCTACAGCACGCTGCGACAACAGAGTAAAGCATTGCATAATCGGAAACTACAACGGTAAAAGCCAGCAAAGCATGGCTTCAGAAAAGTTTTTGAAGCTAGTGAAAAAGCTTAGGCCCCGCACTTCAGTACCAAGCAGCGAGTTCGGTACAGCCCTTCTCTGTTGGTGGTGTAGAAGCCTTCCCTCATGTCCTGTCACGCGAAATAACTAGCAGAAGTTGCGGAAACCTGCAGCATCCAGCACAGAATCATCCGTCTGAATCTCGAATGCCTAGTTTCCACTTGTGTGAAAACATCTTGCACGCAAGCCGTGCACATCGCGGTGCAGCACCCAGGAAACTCTCTGCCTTCGACTCACCCTGTGTGGTTCCGGTACACATCCATGATCATCCAGAGGGGCACAGGCTAGCTTCGTGTCAACCCACTCAAGAAGATTAACCGATCCAGGTAATTGAGCTATGGGCTCTTGACAAGGAGAACAACATACGATCTCGGTCGAGCTGAGACCGGGCACGATTCCGGGCTCCGAGTTCGCAGGTCCTCCTCTTTGAAATCGAAGTACTTCCGGATCGCGGGCTTGATCTCTTCCCAGCTCAGCTCGATGGAGATCTTGGCAAGAAGAGGCTTTCACAACATGTCCAAGGAATCCTTCACATGCACATTGACACAATTCTCTTCGCTGTCGTCCATCTCTCTGTTTGTAGCAAGGTTGGACGCGCAGACCCTGCTGCACTTAAGAGAGCACATGCATGCCAACAGAACAGTTTCATCCCGCTCCCATGTAAGGACCGATGTCAACTCGCTGCGAACATGCCGTTGTCTAGCAGTCGAGTGGTAGGAAAACGACTTTTGGATTTCAGTTGTGTCCAGACACGCTTTGCAAAAGTGACATCTGTAGCGCTTGCCAGTCAAATGCCAACAGACTACGAACTTGCCTTGCTTTTGCAGCCGTTTGCATACCCGTGACGGGACACTTGCGAAGCAATCTGCAAGTTGTCCGTCCAGCGTCCGAGACTGATATTAAGGGACCGTGGGAGCTCTTGTCACCTATCCTCTTCATGCCACCGGTTTCCGCTGCTCAAAAGGATACCTGTAGAACCCGTGCATCTGTGTGTGGGTTTCCCTGCCCACAGACACGCGAACAGAAAGCGAGATGTCTGAGAAGGCGGCGTTGTCTGGCTGCTCCGCAAAGTGGTACAGCAGCCTGGGCAGCCAGAAGTTCAGCATGCTTCGACAGTGAGCCTACAAGAAGATATGCAATGAGATGCAAGCCCGCGCAAGGAAAGTGCAGAAACCCAAAGAAACAAAGAGCCCTTAGCCCTATGGAAACCCTCAGGCTTGGAGAGGACAAGCTGCGGCCCGATGTTCGCCCATAGACCGCCAGGCCTGGACACTGCGGGGATAACTTCAGGACACCAGCAGAAGAAAGGAAATCCAGCGTGCAATGCGTCTCACGTGCACCCGACATGCGCTGGTCCTGGTGGGACTTGCAGGGACTGTCGGTCCTGGCCTGATGATGTCTGCAATTGTGCGAATGTAGAGGAAAACGTTCTTTGCCGTGTCCAAGAAGAAACAAGTGAGCACCGCCTGCAGCACAAGCCAAGGACGAATATCCACATCAGCCTAAATCTTAGGGCCTAAAGGGAAAGCCGGGTCACGTCCCAAGCGCCGTACTGCTCTTCGTAGACGTTGACAAACTCACCCGCACACATGGAGAAGTCCTACAGAGCGGTTGCTTCTCTCCTCACTCGGATCTACGGGGGCCTTCAGGTTTCAGGGCTTTCGGCTTTGAAGCCTTGGAGACGAGAGGTTGAACCCTGCTTTAAGCGAGGCTCCTCAGGTCCCGTCTCCACCCCAGGAGGGCAGAGGATGGCAGAAGGGCAGACATCCGGGATGCAGACACCGCGCATATGATCATTCATGTTCTTCCGGTTCTCCATGTTCAAGATAAACGGATAAATTGTATGCGTGTGGTTGGCACTGGTCTCGTTCAATACCCACTTGCTACCCTGTAGCATGTGGTAGGAGAACTCGTTGCCTTGAGCTGCATAGCCTCGTCTCGCACACTCAAAAGGCAGTCGGGCAAGCCCGCTGCCGGGCGCCAAGACTCTTGGCTTCTTGAAGGGCTGACCACCCGCTTGCTTTGGCAGGGGAATATACTTTTCCAGTGCATCGAGTAGGCAGCCGTATTGGGAGCGGCGCTCTTCCGCACCTTCGTCTGCCCAGTCACGCACAAATTGCCTGAGCACAGTCCGGACCTTCACGCTGTTCCTTTCCTGCACCTGATGGTTCGGTGGCAACTCCCAGAACTCTGGAATACATTCATCAGACCGCACCAGCATTGTCAGAAATTCAGCATTGATGCTGGCACACCGTCGCATTTGTTCCACCATCTTTACGCCTGGAGCCTTCATGAGTGCAAGGTCATGTGGATCCAGAACGTTCCTGAAAAAATCTTCGATGCTCTCTATGTCAGACTCTGCATCTTCGGCGTATGCTAACAGCGAGTAACACACATCCCCGTAGTGCTGCTGGTCGGTCGCCTCAGACTCGCTCGAGTCACTTCCCGCATCGGCGGCGTACGCACATCGTGGATCTTGGCAGCAAGTAGCGGCTGTAGCGTAGCCTTCCCTGGGAGGTACAGCGCGAGGCGGCACAACTGGCTGGCGGCCAGACTCCGCAACACCCGCTGGCACAGCCACAGGGGCTGCATAGCCTCCATGCAGCTGGGGAGCTTGCGACATGGACTCGTCCAGTGAAGGAGGCATAAACAAAGCGTCATGGCTCGGCTTCATGTTTCAGTGTCTGTGAAGCACCTATGAAACTTCCAGTACTCTGTCCGGCACTTAGCACGGCATCTCTGCTTTGACAAGTCCACAGGGAAGTCGCTGGGCTCAGAAACAACCAATGCAATCGACAGCTGAAAAGTTAATCTAACTCGTGTTGCGTCTGCCTTGGCATCTGAAGCTGCTGCGATGCGAAGGTGGGCTAACACTGTGCAGGACCGCTCACAGATGTTCCACATGGCGGGCGTCACAGAAAACTATCTTTACATATGAACTCTGAACTTGTGACTAACCTCGATATCACAATTTTAAAGACTCTCGTCCGTTTCCATCTTCGTCGGGAGCTGGCGCACGATATCTCCACAAACGGCTTCGTCGTGCTCGAGTCCTGAAAGATTTGCCTGTGCCCTGCAGCAGAGTCTTGCAATCCTGAGTGCCCAACCACGCTGCATCTAGCTGTAGCTGGCAACCACAGCCCAGGTCCCCGGGAACGTACGCGCGATTTTTACCCTTTCGCATCTGGGGTGGTCAGCATTTTCTCAATCTGCGATGCTTCACCTTAGTAACCGATAGCAACAGAATGTGGTTCTCAGGCTGCTGCCTACATGGCTATGGCACCTTTCGACGGAACGCGACCGATATCTAGACGGATCAGACTGGTTTAGGCAGAAGCACGCTCGAAGAGCCGGCCGAAGGAGCGCAGGTGCCGTAACGCTGGCAAGGCTCCGATACCTCGGCCCGTGAGCCGGACGGATAAATCGACGGATGCGCTCATATTTCTTTTCGGATCTCTTGCAGCCGAAGCTTGCGGATGCAGCCCTGCCCGACTGAGCAGTCTGCTGCTGGCTCCCGCAGCAATCAGTCGTTGGCACCTTGGTTCAAGGGCGTCGAATGCACTCTGCTCTGTGAAAGCAGAGTCGGTCCAGGATGGGCACACTGCAACGTGGCCGTTCTCAGCCGCAATCCGCAGGGCCGTTCGATCGGACAGCTGCGTCTGCCCGGCCAGTGAACTGCAGCTCCAAACCGGTGGCCGCGACTCACCCCGCCCCGCCTCCACCCTGCCGTTCCGGACCCGCAAAGCGCGAGACTCTGGATCACCTCTCCTCGAAGGCATTGAGCATCAGTGAGAAACCAACTAGACATTCCCGAACCCTCGTTGCCCTCCGTTGCCATTTGCATAAGACTCGGAGGCTGCAACTCAGGGAAGCAGTGCTCTTATCCGAGGTGTTGACAGCGGATCTAGCAAATCCAGCAGTCACGAGTCTTTCTACGACAGAGACTGAGAGTCCGAAAACTCTCAGAGTCTGAGTCACAGTGACTGAGCTTGAGAGCCTCAGAGCCTGAGACTCTCAGACTGGGTTTAGGGTTTAGGGTTTAGGGTTTAGGGTTTAGGGTTTCCCTCCATGCGCTCCATGCGGAACCCAGCCCTGCGCCGAAAACTGAACTCTGAAGACATCGGCTCCGGGGGCCGGACAGCTGAAGCAGATGTCGCACACAGTCCTGCAAAAGAGGCCCCTCCGACCCCCCCGCCCCCAACAGAAGGTCAACCTGCACAACCCTCAAACTGAGGGGTTCCAAAATCATGGCCTGAAAGCGGAGCGAGGCTACAGCGAAGGCCGGTTTCAGGTTTCCGAGAACAGGACAGGCAGCTCTTCTCTCAAAGAGCAATAAAAGCCAAGGAAGTGAGAACTCCTCGAGACCGCGGCCGGCACAGTGTGCCAAGGAAGGTCCCAAGACCTGGGATTTAGGGGGTTGTTGTAGTTTGATTGCATGCAAAATCAGAATGCATCCAAAATCTTTAGGAATGCTGTAGATGCTGTAGGACTGTAGGATAAGCGAATCTACGGCAGAGTCCTGTTTGGATTTTTTGGAGCGAGCGGTGGGAAAGAGAACCGACAATGAAAATCGATCTTCCACAACATGGCCGGGTCAGGTGCTGGAGGCGCCGGCGGCGCTGCCGCTAGGGCGCGTATGCGGGCCTGCGTGCATCAGGCGTTTTGGAACCGTTCTGTTTGTATGTTTTCGACCAGAGACCCATCAGCACAACCCCTTTGTCATTCCATCCAACCCCACACCGACCACCGATCCAACACACTGCAGGCCTCGCAGCGCGCTTGGCCCGCCAGCATGAGCTGCAGAAGCAGATTTCGGGCGGCCGCCTCCTGCTGAGCGGCTGAGGGCTTGCGGAGGCATCTCAGCAGCTCTCAAATGCTGTTGCCTTGCAGGATTCTTCGACCTTAGAGGTCCCATACATCGCATTCGTGATCCAGCATCATGCCTTCCTGGTCCGCGGACCCAGGATCCGAAAAGACTGCAGATGAGTTCCTGAATAGTATCACATGTCGGGATCGGCCCAATGTTCTTATGGATGGGATGTCTATTTCTGTCATGCCGACAAGCCAGCTCTACCAGGCTGGAGATTGGAAGCCTCGAAACTAAGCCTCTAAGTCTAAGTAGGGACATTCCTCGAATGTCCAAAAGCAGGACCGTCGCGTTGCATATCGCACTGCATCGAGGATAGGGAGTTTGCAGGTCAAAACTGAAAGGCAGACTCCCCAAATCCCCAAAATAAGTCCTCCTGTGCAGGAACATGTGCAGCGGCAGGTGGCAGTCCAGGCTGGAGGCTTCCAGATTCTGCGGTCGGTGCCCGCTTCTCGGATGCTGCAGACGAAGCCCTTGAGCGACTGCTGACTTTCGGCCTCTTTCCTGGAGGAGTAGCACGTTTGTGCCCAAGACTCTGAATCAAAAGAGTCGTGCATGCCCTGACTCAGACCGAGTCTGGTCAGACTCTAGCAGACTCTAGCATCACCCCACGCACCTGCATACTGGTTTGACAAACTGCTGTGGTGATGCAGCAGCAAAAAACGTAATGTATACTCATGCACACACGTAAGTATGTGTGCGTGCATGCATACATATACATATAGATGTATGTACATACATTGCTGCACACATACATACATACATACATACATACATACATACATACATACATATACACACACATACGAACATATGCATGAACATATACATATGCATGTACTCACACATGTAACCAAGCACTTACGTATAAGTATACAGGTACCCACTTATACAACAACCTATACGTACATACATATACATGCATACATAAATACATACATACAGTGGGAGGTAAAGACAGACAGACAGACAGACAGACAGACAGACAGACAGACAGACAGACGGACGGACGGACGGACGGACGGACAGACGGACAGACAGACCGACCGACAGACGGACGGACGGACGGACCTTGACCGTATCAAGACTGATTGCCACAAGCCGCCATCATGATCATCACCACAACAACAGGACCGGAACGGCCTCTCTCGGAACACCATTCGCTTGTTGCGAGGTCTGCGTGGGGAGGGGTAACATGTCCCCCCCGTTGTTTGCAGAAACCCGCTCCGTGCAACCACGACCATGACGACGACGATGAGGAGGACGACAAGGACGACGAAGACGAGCAAAAACGAAGACATAAAGTGGGAAGCAATGAAAAGCACACGCGTGTATAGGGTGTGAACCATTGGGGGGGCATTGAAGAGTTTGCCACATCACAGGCCCCGCCTGCTCTTCGGGCTCTGGCGGTGGACTTCTTCGGGCTCCCTTCTGCTGCAGGGCCCACGCTGCAAGGGTCCTGCTGAAATTCCTACTATGAAATATTCGTGGACCGAACCTCTTCTTTAAGTTTCATCGAGGATGGACTCCAAGAGCTGTATTTCCCAGACACAAACTGCCGAAGATCTACGGCAGCCTCCTGAGGAACCACAGGGGTCGGCCCAGCAGCCGGCGCGGAGGATGCTGCAACTGCAGGCTCCTGCCCGAGGCACGGCGGCTTGCGTAGCGTAGATAAAGAGGACCACTGCAACAGATGGGCCTGCCTGCTTTCGCCTCCGGAGCGTCCGCACCTGTGTGAGGAAGCCATGTCAGCAGTAAGCGGACGCATCCGCAGAAAAGCGAAGTGGGAACTGGCGGAATGCTGACATGCACACCGTGCCTTCAACTTCTTGACCGGCTGAGCAACTGCTTTGTGGCCTGGGCGGACGAACAGCACATGCGCAGCCCCCTACCCGGGCTTTTGCCCTGCCCACCCTGAACCGAGGTTGAGAGGAGCATGTGTCTCTGCCAAGCCGCCGTTTGCCGGTGGCAGTGCGGAGGGCTGAGAGACGCTTCTCCGACCTTCGGCTGGGGCTGGGTCGAACAAAGTGGCTTTGCGAATGAGTGAACAGAAGTAGCGAAAAGCCTATAACCATGCACCAGAGTCCAGACCAGAATCCTGTGCCCACAACAACGTCTACGAGCACCAGAGACGGCATGATCGTTGAAACCATCTATTCGGCGCTCTTCCACGTTTTTAAAACCGAAGCCTGAAGTTTCTGGAGGCCCCCGGCGCCGCTTCTTCATGAGGCCATGGCGAAGACCATGGATGCTTTCACAGAGTCGTCTGGATGCTTCTTCCTAGCTCCAGTTACAAGTTATTGACGACTGTGTACGGCTGAGGCTGGGGAGTTGTGTAACTGTGTCGTGGCTCATGCGACAGTGCTGGAAGATTGACCTCCGAACACGATCTTGCAAACTTCAGCTGGCTCAGGACTGCAGAAGGCGTGTTATATGCAACGCCACTCCGTCTTAATGTCCTGGAGCCGTACAGCTGCAGAGCTAGTTGACATGCATGTGGGTAGTTGTCTAAATTAGGGTCCCTTCTTAGGTCCCCAATATGGTACGGCACCCTTATAAAATGGACCCTAAAAGGGACCCTAATTTGGAGAACTACCTATATACAACCCTTATGGTCCCCTTATAGAAACCCTTATAGAAACCCTTATAGATCCCTTTAAAGAGCCCTAAAGGAACCCTAATTTAGAGAACTACCCTAAACCCTAAACCCCTAAACCCTAAACCCTAAAAGGGACCCTAATTTAGAGAACTACCCATGTGCTGCGATCTCCTGAAATGAAGAAAACACTGCAGGCCTCGGCTGGGAACGGGGCCTGGAGCCGGAGTCGGATACCCGCCACGTAGGGGCGGAGCTGCCAGCAGTGGTGGGTTTAGGGTTTGGGGTTTAGGGTTTCGGGTTTAGGGTTAGGGAAGCTGACTAATCAGAACGCCAATTGGACTTTCGTGGTGGCGCCGGCTCCCTCGATGAACTGAAGTGAAGAAGACATGAACTCTCAGTCACCGCCTCTTCCGTTCTGGATGATGGAATATTGAGGCAACCTAGAATACGAAGAACTTCCAGCACACACTTCCAGCCCGTCATCCCCACGCACGAGATGTCTTCATAACTTGAGGATGTGATGGGCTCTGCTGTTCGAGCGGGTTCCGGTGTTCGGGGAGTCAGCCTGGCGGCTTCTCATCGCTCTCAGAGGCACTGGCCGTGGTGTGCCCGGCCTTCAAAACTGTCCGTAGATGGACATGGGTTTCTTTCGAATCATCCATGTCAAAGGATTCACAGTGATTAGCACATTGCCACATGGCTGTGAGAAAATGCCCACAATATCCGCAGATACCCCCGCCAGGGTGACAGTCTTCACATCTAAGATTCTGGAAGCCTCTGTCGCCTGCTCCCTGTCCATCGCAATGGCCGTCTTCAGTGCCTCAAAGCATACTGTCTTCCAAAAAATCTACACTTCCTGCTGCTACTTGCCTGGAGGCCACGCCACCCACAATCCACAACCAAAACAGAACATGAGCAGCATGAGCCCCCCCCCGAAAGCCAAAATAAACCAGAAGGCTCGGCTCGAAGCTTTGTCCCAAAGAGCATGGTTGAACCCTTCCTCGGCGCCGCCTCGAACCAGGTCGAAGCCTCCGTCGCGGAAGAGCACCTAAAGAGGAGGAAGCTTCTTGAAGAAATCAGAAGCTCTTCTTTCAAACAACACCGCCTGAGGCCCTGGAATCTTTGGGAGGTCCCAAGGCAGCCGAGCTCAAAGCATTAGCTCCATGGTTTTCGCCGGACGAGTCATGACCGTGAGCACATGCTGCTCCTCCGGGGTGCTGCTTGAATACGGTGAACCACAGGCGACAGGAGAGGCGGGTGAGTTCGTTCAGCCGAAGACCTGACCGTCTCACTGACCGTTGCTATTGCCCCAAGGAAACCGAAGTCGACTGCCACTGATGCACACAGACATGACGCATCAGCTTTGCCCTCAAGATATCCCCTTCCAAAGGTGCAAGCGCACTGCTGTCCTCGGCCTCCTTCGCGGTTTTGAGGAAGCTCGTCGTGCGCTGAAGGAAAGAGCCTTCCAACAGCAGGAATCCAAAACCCTCGGCCGGGAGCGCCAGAACACCAACCTCCGCGAAGCTCTGAGCGCGCCACGCTTGCTGCCCTTGCTGAACTCAGAGATGTTGTCTCCTTTGAGGTCGGCCTCGCTCAGCGATGCCCCGTGCTTAATCCCCTTCATCTCCGTGGTCCTAGGACTACCAGTAGGCCCTAGGTCCGCAGACGTCCGAAGTACGTACACCGCTTGATGGTCTTGGTGCGAAGCCTCGGGCATCCGCACATCGACAATGTCAGCAAATGGCGTCACAGCCGACACCTGCAAACGCGCTGCTGCAAAGTACACGAAGACGACGACCATGACGACGATGATGATGGTGGTGATGATGATGATGATGATGATGGTGACGGTGATGGCGATGGTGATGGTGATGATGATGATGATGATGATGATGATGATGAACATGACGATGATCATGATGGTGATGGTGATGATGATGATGATGATGACCATGACGATGATGATGATGATGGTGATGATGATGATGATGATGATGATGGTAACGACGAAGAACCTGTGCACACTCACGGGCCAGCCAATGCCAGCCCAGGCGGTTCAGCCAAGTTTCATGCAACGTGGCAGCATGACGGCACAGCGTTGCACAGTGCTTAATAGAGAGTATGCTGGCAAAGCCTCACAACCTGAGGCGTGCCTTGCTGCTGCCTTCAGAGTGGGCATAGAAGAAGGTGTGCCTAGCTGAACACCAGCGATGTCACACCCGTTCTGGTGGGAGAGGCATCCCAAGCCAACATCATTGCAGGCAAACGGCGTGTCGAAATCCAGGGTGAAGTACCGCTTGTTGTACCTAGGGCGTTATGAAACAACTGCAGCATAGCGAAGGCAGAAAAATGAGCTGACAGCCTGTGCTCGAAAGAGAAAGCTGCAAGCGCCTGCTCTGAGCGCTGGGCTCTCGCATCCTGAATGCTGATGTGCCACTTTTCTTCTTTTGCAGCCTGCTCCACACATCTTCTTATGCTACAGCCCCATGGGAACATGCCCTGTTTCAGTGCTACGATGTGGGGTGAGACTTGCCTTCTTATTCAATCAGTGCCAAGTAATGGTAAGAATCAATGGCCCGAAGAAGAACATCGACCAGAAGCATCAGTGATATTACTGCACGTCTTATAGCTGGCCGCATCAAGCAAGACTGCCACTGCTTGCATGAAGTTCAAAGCTGGAAGCCGACAAACAAACCTTCATGCTATCAGACTCCAACGAGCAAGAGTGCAGCCAACACAAAGCGAAACCGTGAGAGATGCAAGGCGTGCCAGGCACTGAGCTGCCCTCTGTACTCGGCATCTTCGCACAAAGCAACCATAGCCTGGGCTGGGTTCTCAAGGAGGCTTCGGCATTGCATCATATTGCTCTGAGCTGCAGACCCTCTCCACAAGGGCTCTACCACTTTTTTGACTGTCGCCACTCCCAGAGAGCCAAGACGGCCGAGGAGCGGAGCTCAAGCGTTGCGATTTCTTTCAACGATGCCGATGCCACAATAGGTGCTCTTGTCAAAAAGGCCAAAGTCTCTAAGCACTGACAAGACCTTTCTAGTGAGTCACAGGACTTCTGCTGCTGAAACCAAGAGGTGTCCAAAACCACTAGAGAAGCACATCTCAAAAAGGCAGGCTGTCGGTGGCCACCGGACCTCGCCAAACTTTGCCAACTCCAGGAAGACTTCCTCATAGAAGTGTTCCAGGTGCTCCTGCTCGAGTTCCACAATAGCTGCTAACCACAGAAGGGCTGGAGAATTTCATCAGAGCGATTCGGAAGCTGCGAACGGCCGATCCCTACGCAAGCGCTGATGACGGGTGTCCAGCTTACACTCAGCTCCTACATACTCAGAACGAGGAAGTGCACTAAGCAACGACAGCGGCCACGGCCTGTTGTCGAGCGTAGGTCTCATCGTCCCACTCGTCATCGTTTGCCACAGCCATGGCCTCTGGGATGCAAGGATACCTCGGAATATGGAAGGATCGCTTTGAGGTATTGGCAATCCCACATACATACGCGAAGCCAGAACCTCTATGGCGAAACAGTCCCTCGCACCCTTTTTTGCAGAAAGTGGCGCCACCACTCCAAACACCACAACCTCCCAACCCTGAATCACATCGGGACACCCAGAAAAGGAAGCCCGCCAACATCTGAATCCGGGACTCAAGCAGACTCTGGAAGACTCGGCAGCTGCAGTGAGAAGGAAAGGGGCTCTGGGCTGTTGAGGAAACAAAAGCTGCATGGTCGCATAGTTTGCAGATGTTCAATTCATCTGTGGCATGGGACTTAGGCACGGGTCAAAGGCTTCCATTTCTCGAAGATCCCTGCACCGAATTGCTCTTTCATCCCGTGCTCGGCTGAGGCGACAGCAGATGAGGAATCAGAATTGTGTTGCCGCTGGTCGGCTTGCTGTGAGCCTTGCGGGTCTGGGTCTGCATGCATCGAAGCTCAAACAAGACCAAGCACCACCGCCTGAAAATAGTCAGCAGATCCATCCCTTGTAGCCTGCCATGTCCTGCCCCATTGCCTCCGAAGTACACCCCTCCGAAGGAAATCCCGAAAGGCAGAGCACGGCAGCCATCGGCATTTCAAGACCCAGACACGATTGCAGCGGTCACCGTTCCGGCATGCCCCAATCTTGAAGTAAAAAGGGCAATTGACCCGGTCCTCGCGAGCAGCACAGCTGCTGATGTTGCTATGGACGTTTTCACACTCCCGTCTGCCGGATTGCCCCAATGAGAAAAGGGCTGAACGATCGGCCCGGGCCACCGCAAAATCCGAGCTAGTCACTAGTCCTCTTCAGCGATGAATCCCTGACCTGAGATGACTCGAGCGCGAAGCCGATGTTGAATCTCCTCGCGCTCCCTGAGGGACGAGCTGTCATCCCTGTTCGTCAGGAAGCTGAAGTCGAAGCCATCCCGCCCTCCGCTTCGCGGCATCCTTGCAGACATCCCCAACCAGTCGCTGCAGAACGCCGGGGCATCCAGCAAGGCCTCCACGAGGAGCGCGCGGCCCCGATGTGTTCACTATCGCAGGGGCCGAAAGAAGCGAGCGGTGCATCTCAGCCGAGCAGGGTTAGAAGACTCTGCATGCAAAACAGGCTTCGGATCGCTGACGAAAGTCGCAGAGCGTAGCACTCGGCTTCTTTGCTGCTCTGGGACTGCTAGCTTCGCATGTTGTGAAGCGCACAGCACTCGGCAGGGCCACGCTCATTCGGCAGCTTACCTGATTGAACAAGCCAGAGCTCAGAGCAAGACGTAAAAAAGTGGAATTGTGGGATGGATGGCGAACTGTGGCAAGCTTCTTTTCCAATCGCGGTCTCGAAAACACCCGCTTCCCGGATCCAAGCTCCGATGCTCAGAGCTGGAAGTTCCGCAAATGGCACGCAGAAGGCTCCGTAGCCGGCACTCCATTTCGATGCCCACTGTGAGCCTTGAACAAAAGTTGAACAGTCGCTGTAGGCGGGGCTAGCTGTGGCATGCTTTGGCTTCGCAGCACCCACCGTCCATCGATGCTGACTGACAGACGAAAAAGCAGGTCCTGAGAGCTACACAGTCGGGCAAGCAAGTCGCCTGCTACGAAGAGAGCAAGGTGACCTGATGCCACTGCATAGCTCAGGACCCTGACAAAACACAAAACTGTTGGTTGCCCCACGATGCTCTCACGCCCTGCGCCTACGTGACCGCGGACCCAGTAGCCTGCAGAACCCCTGTGTGCGGGGAGCATCGTGTTGCAAGTCCCGGCATTAGGGAACCCGTGGCCTGTAAGCCAAGACCTGGGCAACCCGATCCGAGCCGAAAGTGACGGCAAACCCGGCCCTGTTGCTGTGGGCTTGCAGATTCACGGCGATGGTCTTTTCGTTGATGGGCGTGGCGGCCTCGAGCTCGCGCTTCTTTCCGGTTACGTCCTTCACGGGGAGCGCGAAGTTGCCGGAGGCATCCTTACGAAGCAATCCGGAGAGGTCGAAGGCACCGGAGAACTCGTGAGAGCCCGCACCGCCATTCACGCCGGCGACGGAGCTTACACCAGCCAACTCGCGAGTGTTCGCTCGACCACCGCTTTGCGCAACGAAGTAATATTTCATCGGGATACCCACCTTGGCCAGGAACTTACGCTCGCCATACCAATTGCCACCATCTTCGTGGATGATGAAATAGTCCTGCCCGTTCGCCGCGGCAATCCACTCCATGCCATCAACATCCTCAGGAAGGGGGCATGTCGCTGCCCAAGGAGAGCACTGGTTCTACGACGATGGTCGGAATGTGAGTCTCAGTACTCCGACCAGGTTAAGTCTACTCAGTCTACTCTTCTCTTCTGCGGCGCTGGTCGGTGCAGGCGTGTACTGTAGCCTGCACCCACCCTTCACGAAAGATTGTCCCCCAGGTCCTCGAAGGTGCTCTTGTCCCTGCTGCTGTCCCTCATCCTGGGCAAGTGCTGGGTGGCAGGAACGTGAACCGGAGAGTTGCATCAATATCAGCAAGGGGGCTCATGAGGTTTAATGACCTGAAAACACAGCCCTTTGGAGGTTCGATTGCACGGACAGGATTTCGGGTTCAGAACAGGACTCCCCGTACACAATGCTCCTCAATAGCAGCACAGCATCATTTTCTGGTTGTTCCCGTCTGCTCGGATGCCGGCCCCGCCTAGCTCGATCAAGTTGCGAACATCCGACTCAGGTTGATACACCGTGTATGTAGCAGGAATGGAGTCGGGAAAGGTGCTGCCCAGCAGGGAGGGCAGGCTCGAGAAGTCGTAGATTCCGAAGTAGCCAGCCGTGGAGCCCTGCAGGACACGTTGACCACCCCGGGGATCCGGTGACACGTGCTCAGTCTTGGCGCCACGACGGTCCTTGCCGTTGGAGTTCCAAAAGCACCAGCCGGCCGGAGCATCTCGCGGAGCGTCCTGAAACTCCCAGCTTCCATCGTGTTCGAAGCCCTGCACCACACCCCTCTGCGCCTGCCAGCGGAGCTTGTAGAAGGCGCCTCTCACGGTGTCACCTGCAGAGGCAGTCTTGTGCCAGGCATCTCGCGAAGCGGTCACGGTGCAGTCGACCGCGAAGCCGTAAAGGGCTCCGTGCTCGAAGCCATTCCTTGCCAGGAAATCTATGGAATCTGCATTCCCTTCTTTATCCGTGTTCTTTTTGCCGATGTAGAGCTTGGTGGGCACAATGTCCTGCGGCCACACGTACGGATTGCCGTCCGTTCTATAGTACAGACTGTTGCGAGCATCCAACACGGCACCTCGACTTATGCCGAAGGCTCCGTTGTAGCCAGAAGGTACGAAAGCCACATAGTCCTGATGGCCGCTGTTCACTTCCACGACCTTCTCGTGGCCTCCGAGGGTGAAGGCAGCAGTGGCCCAGAGCTCGCCAGTGGCCAAGTTCAGGACATGCACGGGCAGACCGATGGGCAAGGAGCTTTCGGGGTAAACGATCCACTCTTCGTTGGTGATGAAGAGGTCGTCCTCCACTCCCTTGCCGTTTCCCCACTGGTGCCTCACCTCCAGATGTGCGGAGCAAAGGGATTGCATAAGCCAGTCTGCCTTGCTGGGAGCCTTCGCAGTGCTTCCGACGATGTAGTTGCCATGCACGTCGACGTTGCTCTCGTGGACATTCGACTTGGTGGCCTGCAGGCCGTCCCCTGCGCGATTTCGGGGCCCGACACGCTCCCGCCTCAAGTTGTAAGCTGTGGCCACCGCGTTGCCCGCCCCCTTCACCATGCTCTGAGCCTTGGCTGGTGCCCCATCGTCCATGAAGGTGGCTAGCATGCTTCTGTCGTAATCGATGAAATGGATGTGAGAGCCAGTGAAGCTGGCAGTGTTGGAGTTCACCGTCCACGGATAAGACTCCGGGTTGGAGCTGACCAGCTGGCCGTATGCCTCGCTCTGGTAGATCAAGCGCACCGTGTCGGCATCCTTCAAGTAGGCGCCCAGTCCATCTGGTACACCTCACCACACTAGCCGTCGATGGCCTATCTACTGTTTATCTACCCCAACTCAAAATCCTGTGCAAACCAAGACTACCTGCCTGTGAGCATGGATCCTGTCAGTGGGTCCACCTCGCCCGCCGTGGCCAAAACCTTGATGTTTCCATGGGGGAAGTTGGTGTTCCCCGCCCTGCCATCCACGAGGAATTCCGCGTTGGTGCCCGCATCGGAAGCTTCGCAGATCGGCTGGTCGTGAAAGCCCACCGGCTTCACGTGAGCCATGTGCCCGCAGAACTCTGCTGAAAATTGCACTCCAGGCACCTGCGAAAGCAGCTGCATGGCTCTGGCGCAATGGCAGACTCCCACTGGACTAGTCGCCCCGCAGACGGAGCTGCCAAAGCTGCTGCCCTCGCTGGTGCTGAAGTCCAGCGACAGAGGCTCCTCACCCTCGGAACAACAGTCCTGGGCTTGATAGAAAGTGCGAATATGGCCACAGGACATGGATGAGCCATGTCCATGGGCATCTGCACCCATCACGGTTGCCACTGCCAAAACCACTAGACCAGTGGAAAAGGACGGTCGAGCCGCCGTCAAAGGCAGCACCAGCGCCATCCAAGCCGAGTTTCGAGCCCCATGGTTGACATCGATCTCCTTCGCTCTGTTCCTCCGCGGTTCCTTGTTCAGGTTCGCAGGACACAAATCCAGATGTGGATGGTTCGGGCACTGGGCACCCACCGAGTGGGCAAGAGCAGCAGACACTGCTGATGCTGCAAGCCCGGCGAGACGGGACGGCATGGCGACAAGCGAGCTCTATTGCAAGGACTAGTCACAAGCAATTCGGGTTCGACATCACGGACATGCAATTCATGTCGCCAAACGCGCGACACTGCGGAGACTGCACTCGCAACTTGGACTCCGGCATGCCAACGAGACCTTGCGTTAACACCATGGTCAGGTCCTGTCCCAGTCGCGAGATTGCAAGCTGATGCGAAGGATTGAAGGTGCCAACGCATGTCCTCTCCCCGAGGGTTCTGCCCAGGACCGTAGCCTGAGCGCAAGCTTCCGTACTCTCACTCTGCGTTGCTTTGCTCCCCACATCTCCAATGGTCCGTCAACATGCTGCCCTGCAACGTGCCATTTGTGGGGTGAACCCCAGTGTTCGGATTCGAGGCCCTCGGCGCGCCTGCGGCTTGAACCATGCACACAGCACACAGCTTGCGTTGCAGCCTACTGCACCTCGAATTCGCAACGGTCGTTCAACACACTGAAAGGAATCTTCGTGAAGATTTGACGCACGTCTGCGGCACACCTAGTTGCACTCCCTTGTCAATTTAGCCCCTTCTGCCTCCTCTGGCACAGACGGGCGTACGATGCTCCACGGGTCGTACCTGAACCAGAACACAACCTTCGGCAGCACCGGTGCACCGACCAAGATATGTTCCAAATGCCAACACCAGCGTCCCAGCATTATCGTCTGAAAGAGATGACTTAGAATTGTGCGATGCAAAAGAGAATCCTAAACCAAGGGCGCCATGCATTTCGCAGCCCAGTTCCCAGTGTCCAGGGCAGCGTCCAGAGACCAAGAGCAAAAGCACGAAGCCCTGAATGTCCCGTGGTCTGCTATGGTCTGTTCTCATGGTGTCGGGACAATGGCCAAGGTTTTGAAAAAGGCATCCAGGTGATGCGAAATCAGAGGAAGCTGCGAAGTACTACGAATCGCAGAGCTGTGGAAACATAGTCAGGCGGGACATCCCAGGGAGTGGCCTGGCCAAGTTCCTACGTCCATCCTGTTTGATTGCTGCAAACTCGACAGCCTGTTTGACGTTTCCGGTTGTGTTGCCTTAAGCCTTAACAAGCTGTGCTCAGTACAGTGCCATGATCAAGTCTCCGGGACAGTCGGTGACAAGTCAACTGGGCCACACGCCATTGAAGAGCCATACCATACGATGCCAAAAACACTGGAGGCGACTGGCTGGTACCTCTTCGGGTGGCGGAAGCATCTGGCCGCACTGTTTTAATATGAGCACTGCTCCTAGTAAAGGATGTCTGGTAGCCCGGCACGACGCTGGAATCGCTGATTCATGTTAAGCCGTCTGCCTGTAGCCAAACTCCGCAAATATGCAAAACACCCTCACTCCTTCGGCTTCAGATTTATAGGTCCTTAGGTCCTGGAGTGCTCCAAACAGCAAACTCACCGAACCCCTGCCCGAAGCTTATCAAAAGAACCCAGGATTCCTAAGAGCTGCACCCGTGGCGCCACGACGACGATGGTATCGCCCTCCTCAAAGCCCTGATCCTCCAGTGTCCCCTGGGCACTGGCACCAAATAGGCACTGCACTTCGGAGCTCAGGAGCCCTCGAAAGCTTCCCACCTCTGAGCTCAGGAGTTGGCCCGCAAAAACGAAGCTGCAGCGTCCTGTGCGGAGATGCTTTCACTGCGGAGCTTCCGCTCCTCCTCCCGCTTTCGGCTTGGTCCGCGGCCGCCCGCTGAGAAATCTTCGCCCAAAGAAGCAAGCACCTGCTGACGGGCGGAGGCGGAGCTTTGCCGAGTGCCGGGCGCTGGGACCTTCTGCTTGAAGTCGCTTGCTGCCAGTTGGGACTTGACCTCCACGGTCCTATCTTCTTGGCGCCCGTCGCTCCAAACAGCTCGGATCAAAAGCTTCATCTCCCTTCCATCCGGCGCAGGAACCGATCCTGCCGCATCCTGGGTGGAGTTTGAGTCGGATGTCTGGGCAAGGAAGATGCGGCCGTCCAGGGACTCCACAAGGGCGTCTTCCTGCAGGAGCCGTCCGCCGGCCACCAGGCGCTGGGCTGAGGCTCGGATGCCAGTTCTTGCCTGAAGACTCTCCTTCAGATCGGCCACGGTCGATCCGGGAAGCGTTTCGATCTCCAGTGGCTCGGAGGCATTGATGGGATGCACTCGAGTCACCGGCATGCGAGGGCCGGCACGGCCGACATTGAATTGCAAAGTGCGTGGATCCCTTGACCCATCGATGTGCTCTTTGGCTACTTCTTTATTGCCAAGCTACAAGGCAGTCGAAGAACGTGCCTTACCAAGCAACGTCAAAGTAGCTTTTGGCAGTGTCCAGCTATTCTCGTTTTCCGACATCTACGGGACTCTGTGGGCGAGTAGCCCTCTGGCTTGGAGAAACGGCAACAAACTGTTCCCTGTCGTGGCAAACACTTTGCCCATTGGATTGCTGTGAAAACTGCACTCAGGGTGTGGAAATCGGGCTTCGCAAGAGTCAGTGCTGGCTGACCCACTGACGGCGTGCAAAAACACACACAAGTTTTATCTCGCAAGCAATCCGGGACGAGCTGGTTCTTTGCAACTTGCCCGATAGATGCTCCAAGCAACGACAACTCTCAGCATGCGGCACTGGCACGGCCTATGCAGCCTATCACGTCAGGACACCAACGCGGAGCGAGGCTTCCCGGAGGGCAGCGGCGGACTTGGGAGGCGAGGTTTGGCCGCTTGGCTTGGGCTCTGCTTGGCTTCGGAGAAAGGGGAACCACTTAGGGCCTCACGCCGCCCGGGGACTTCGTCTTTACGACAAGGACTCGACGGGTCCCGTCTGCGTAGCTTCGTGGCACAAGGCTTGTATCTTGAAAACTCTAGGCTTCCTGCGGAAGTTCACTGCCCCGTCGAAGCCCGGGTACCTCCACGAAAAAGGCTCCGTCAGAATCGCATGATGACACCTTGACACATTCCATAACAACATCAGGCAGCGAATGCCGTATCGCCGCTTCACAAACTTAACTCTGTAATTCGTAGAACGGTTTGAATGGTAGTGTCAACTCTGTTCCCCAACAGTGGCGCACTGAGGCGGCCATGGAGAAGTAGCCGGGGGGTCCCGGCCTTTCGTTCAACTTTCGTTGTGGCAGGCAAGGACTGGGTAGCCTTTGGCGCCGAGCTCTGCAGCTTGGAGCTCGGGATCTGTTTCCGGTGCTTCCACGACCTGGGCAGGGCTCCTCTCGAGAGCCGTTCTGTACATGGCGTGAATGACCTTTACCAAGTGAAAAGATTTAATCCCTGCCTTGCCTTGCCATCTCTGGCTCTCTTGCAGAGCTCCGCCACCTGATCATGACCACAGCCCGTGACAAGCGCGATGTGCAACGACAGAATGCTGCTTTAAGGGTGTGATATTGCTGCCGACCTGCTGATGCCGCAGCCGCTCTTTGTGTAGGCGTCCATGTTTTGTGCACCATTGGATTGCATCCTTCATGCGGCAGAGGATGCAAAGATCATTGAATCACTGAACTCTTGTTCAGATCCGATGGATCCATCGGTTTGACGCCTGCGCAACATCCAGTGCTGTGCGGCCTTATGAGCAACAAAGAGCTGCAATTCTGACACAGCTCCACGAGTCAAAGCTGATCCTAGGCACTCTGTGATTCACTGTGCGATAGCACAAGTCACAACGTCGTAAGCCCTGAACCTTTTGAGGTCTCCACTTTCCAGCTTTCCGGGTCCATCGCCAAGACCTGAAGAACCGTACCGGCCACCGTCTTTTTGCATGGCATTCCATCCATCCCGCGTGCAGCCACGCTAAAACTCAACAGATGCAAGCTTTGTCAGTCTTTGCCAGAGCTGTCGCACTCGACCAACAGCCGCAACTGACGACCCCGCTACAAAACCCCTGTTCCACTCGATACCTCTGGGTTTCAGACTGCCGCGGCCTGAAGGCTGTGCATGATGGGATTTTTCTGAAAGGATCGAGTCTGCTGGGCTTTTTCCCACTACTAGCACGGTGGCACGGGCAAATTTCGTCCTGATTTTCAGAGCGAATTCCTGCTATCTTCTACCCCACATCTGATCTGCGCACCTTCTGCAGATTTGAACAAGGCTGCTTGCTCTAAGGACCAAAGGATTCGCGGGGCCTGAGTCGGGCGGCCAAAAGCAGCAGCTTCGTGCAAAGTCGTTTGTCCAACCTTCCCGCATGGTTTCACTTCGGCAGTGCTACTGAGCAAAGACACGTGCGATTTTATTGGTCGTGACACTTTGGCCAGGAACGTTGCTCCACGAAATTGACGAATCCTTGAAATACCCCTGCCTCGTCAGGCCAAGAGAAGGATATATGGCGCTGGCCGAATCCGTCGTAATGCTCAGCGGATGCATCAGCAGACCCAGAGCAAAAAAATAATAACATGGCTGGACACACTCGCTTTGTGCATAGAGCCCGGCTCTCCAGAAATCGTCCGCTGGCGTTTTGGATGTGCCTTTCTTCGCCTGCACTTTTAGTTTCCACGTAACACAAGATTCGACAGAGCCCACGCCATTCCGCTCCAAGCGGGAACGACAAACTTCGACATGGCACAAAGCTTGGGGTGAGGCGAACCATGCTTCTGCAACGGCGAAACTTCTGTCCGGCAGGGTCGGCATTGCTCCAGTACCGAACAACGGACAATACACTGCAATATTATAACGTATAAAAGCGTACGCATGACTATTGAGTACTCTGTGATTACCTCACATGTTCGATCATTACCTTCGGAATCAATGCAAAACAAAGGAAACATGGACTCATTCGGGTCTGCAGACGGCACAGTGCATAGCATTTCAACTTTGTCGGCGGACCTGCTCAATCAAGGCTGTAGCAA